TTCCACAGGATTCCCCATGCTCTGCATACTGTTTGACTGAGCCTCTGCATCTGCTCCCATCAGTTGCTGGATGAAGCCTCTCTCTGATGATGGTCATGCTAGACTCCTGGTCTACAGATGCAGTCGGTTTTTAAAGCAATAAATAGTAAACAGTAAGCCGACCCCTGTATGCTTAGTAAAGTAGTCAAATAATAGAAAGAGCTAAGGGATTAGGAAAAAAAAATCTTAAAAGCTTTAAACAAAAGCCTTTCTTCCATCTTCGTCAGTAGCCCTGAATCACCTCCCCATCCTGTTCCCAGAGAGGAACTGTGGTTCTGAGTATCCTGTGTTGAGCATGTGATCCTTGGGCAGCATGTCTATCTATGTATGGAGCCCTCCTCCCTCCTTTCGCCCAGTTGAGTGCACAGATGCTCCCCGGAAGTTGGCTTCTGTGGAAGCTGATGGCTTAGGCTCTGTGGGTTGAGCCTTTCCTCTGCCCACAGGTAAATGAGAAGAAGCCAGTCTTTACCCTTCCATCTTGACGGAGCGATGGCTGTGCTTGTACATGCTGGGTGTCTTTAACCCTGTTTGTCTTTTATTATTGGAGATACATCCTTCCCGTAGTTATGGCCATCTGGGAGTTTGGGGTTATCCATATCAGCACTCTTCCTAAGCCTTTCTTCTTCAGATTGGTCCTGTTCACAGAAGATCCGGAGACACATTTACGAGTGTTCTCTGGGCCAGAGGATCTGAGAGACCAAAGGCTTTTGTTTTGTTGTTAGCTATCAAGCCATCCCCTGGATAGGCCTGTGCTAGACCCTTCCATGTAACTGACCGTGCATTGTCCCACAGAGACCCGATCTGTCCTTCCCTTTAGCTCCTTGAGGAGACATAGAAAAGAGAGGCAACAATATCTGCTCTGTTCATCGTGAACTCTGGAGCATTGGAGGCTTGGGGACTCTGAGGGGGCTGGCTAAAGACAGACCCTGGAGAGCCCAAGGGTGGCTCAGTGGAGACTGAGGTCAGAGGTGAGGGGAGACTGAGGACTGTTCAACCCTCATTCCTCCAGGTACAGAGCCACACTAGACATCTGAGGCGCTTCCTGTGGCGTAAATTCCTTCCAGAGTTTCATTTTCCCAAGGGTAGCAAATGTTAAGTGTTCAATTTGCATCACTTCAGTCACCCGGTGATGCTAAGTACGTGAGCTGGTACTGTGTGTAACCCAGTTCAGGACAGCCTGCAGACTTCCCAGAAGGACAAAAGCTCCCAAAGCCGAGGTGCTGTTAAGGCCTGACTTCTCAGGGACGTTGTTCAGAAAAGAAGGCAATAGAATTTGCACGAATACTCACTGATGTCTGTTAGGTTTTGTTTGTTTGCTTGTTTTAATTTCAATTTTGAGTGGAAAAATCTATAAGCTTTTTTAAAAAATTTCCCCCCCTCCGAACTGATCTAAATATGTAGGTACTTGTTCACTGCTGATATTTAGGAGTTAAGGTTTTAATTCTTCAAATGCCTCATCAAAATATGAGTGTTCTGTGTCATTGAAAAGTATAGTGATCAGTAACCCTGAAAAATGCCCCATTTAGGCTGGATGTGGTGGTGTATGACAGGACTTAGAAGACAGAGGCAGATGGACCTCTGTGATTTTGAGGCCAACATTGTTTATATAGTGAGTTCTAGTCCAGCCAAGGCTACACAGTGAGACCCTGTCAGAGACACAGAGATGAGGAGGGGAGGGAAGGACAGAGACAGACAGACAAACACAGAGACAGATGCACAGAGCCTAACTTTATTAACAGTAAATTTAAAAGGCTTCAGTTTGGTCTCTGTTAACAAAGGTGGATATGACCTTGTAACTCCCATGCAGTAAGCCTTCTGAGGTCCAAGGGGACGCGGAATGAATCATTAATTTGGATGAACAGAGTGGGATTAGGACTCCCAGTCAAGCTAATGGGTTTTGTCTGTTCCATTTTGTCATTTTTTTGGGAGACAGATTCTTACTCCATATTGCAGACTGGCCTTGAACTTGTAGCAATCCTCCTGCCTCTGCAGTTCTAGTGCCGGGATTATAAGTCTATGTCATTGTGTCTGGCTGTCAGCCAGATTACATGGCCACTGGTTCAGAGGGTGAAGGGAGTCGGAGGTAATCACACAGGGAGCCTCACTGATAGAGATCTCTGTGGTGGTGATCTAGAAATGGCAAAAACTTAAAGGTGGACTCTGATCAAATCATCTTAATTATAGATAGCATGAAGGGGTGTGAAGACAGTGTCGGAGGAAGCTGTTCCTTTTAACTTCCTTACTGTCCAGCCACTAGAGAGAATTTTTTTTTTTTTTTTAATTAGAAACAAGCTAAGATTTTTTTTTTTTTTTAACATGTCAATCCCAGTTCCCTCTCCCTCTCCTCCACCAACCCCCTGTCCTATCCTCTTTCTGCTCCCCAGGGAGGGTGAAGCTTTCCATGGGGAGTCTTCAAAGTCATCAAATCATTTGGAGCAGGGCCTAGGCTGAGAGAGTATCTCTCCATGGGCTCCCAGTAGAGAGAATTTTAAGGATCCATCAGTAGGGGCTGAAGTCAGTGAGCTATGCTGTATTCTTTGATATTGGTACCAGGCTGTCATCTTTACTGCTAAGATACACACACACACACACACACACACACACACACACACACACACACACACATGCTACAAACTTCAGAGAAGCTGGTGGCCTTTTCCTTTGCTTCTGGCGAGTCTTTAGTGATTGAAACCCTTTGTTCTTCCCACCAGTCTTGTTTTATGAGGGAAGTGGTTATTCTTGGGATTGTGACTTATTTTCAGTGCAGCAAAGTCTTGCTTAATCTCTTCCAGTTTGAAGATCCATTTGTCCAAATCTGTCATCACGTTTCCCCCACAGAGAGGCAGCTTCTGAAGTAGAGTATACACATGTCCTTCCTCTACCCTCCATCCACTCCTGTTTGGCTCTTTTGGCTTGGGTACCAGCCACGTAAGCTCTGGTCTCTGTTGGACAGTGTGGAAGGCACCTTTTAACATGTTTCGTTGGTTTATAGCAGTAAGGAAGTACCGGTTCAGAATGGGTTTGTTTGCTGATGAGGATCTAGTCCCTTCCAGATAGAATATGGAAAGACTTTGGTGGTGTTAAAGCATACCAGACGCAATCTTCACTTTTTAGGTTCCTTGTTTCCCCCATGGAAAGTAGGACACAGCTGGATATTTGCAAGCCGGGCCTGTTTTGTCCAACCTTTTGACATTGCATGGTGTTGCTGACACATTCGTAATTGAGAATGGTGCAACCGAGTTACCCAAAACAAGACAAAACACACGATCTAGATGTTTGAGGACGTTCATGATTTTATGTTGGACCATCCATAGCCATCCTTGGTTAGAGCTGCATGTGGCTTCTGGGCTATAGGCCAGACACATGTGTGAGTGTGCAGTGTCTTTTTCTCCCTCTAAACTGTCGTTCTGATGAGTCAGAGCTGCCTTTCAGTGAGCAAAGACCAGACTGCAAGGTTTTTGTAGAGGAACCTTCCCTACGTTGCACAGTCTCTCCCATCTCTGAACAGCAGCCTGGATTTTCCGTGTCCTTTTCCTGCACTGGACATTTTTAATCGGCTATGGGGGCAATGTTGAAGAGAGCAGGGAACTGGATGACAGCGAAGGACCTTACACCGTTCTGGCTCCTGGGCACCCTGATAAAGCACTGAGTGTCAATCAAGAGGACATTCATGTTTCAATCATGACCAGCCGAAAGAGGATCTGCAGTCCTTCCTCAATCAAATGCATCTCTGTTGTCTGCACTCAAACACTAGTTTTCATGAAATGCTTCCAAGAACCATACAACATACCTAAGGTGTGTGCCATACCTAAGGTGTCATCCCAAGCAACCCACAGTGACGTGCCCTGCTGAGGGTCCAGAGGACAGTGTGCCTTCAGCAGCACAGACTAGAATCTAGGCTCCTCACCTCTTGTTGGCCCTCCCCTGGGTCCTGAGTGCCCACCCTGGGTCAGTGGAATCTACTGTATGATTCCTTTAAGTGACAAATTCTGGTTTGGAGTGATTTTTTTTTTTTTTTTTCTTTTCTACTCTGAGATCTCACATTTGTGCCCCTGTATGTTAGTTACTAGGGATTGAATCCAGAGCCTTGCATATGCTAGGCAAATGCTTTCCCCTTGAGCCCTCTGTTTTACTTTCACTGGGTCTCCTTAAGCTACCTGGTCACTGTGTAGCCCACATTTCTCTTGAGCTTAGGACATCCTTCCCCAACCTCTAGCAAGAATGGTAAGTCTGTGCCCCCAGACCTGGTTTGTAAATAGTATAAGTTGTTGTTTGCTTGTCTTTAGAGACAGGGTTTCTTTATGTATAGGCCTGGCTGTCCTGGAGTTCCATCTGTAGACCAGGCTGGCCTGCCTCTTCCTGGGATTAAAGGGGTGCGTCACCATTGCCTGTCTATGGTGTGCTAAGCTGTTTGGAAGTTAACTCCTGTTAGTCCTTCATCTTCTGCACGCTAGCCTCTTCTCTCTTTTGCTCTGTGTTTATAGGCAAGTGTGTGGTAGGTGAGAGAATGCCTCCCTCTGTAACCTTGCAGAGGACTCTTCCACAGTGTGAATATTTCAGTATGAGATGACATCTTTAGAATTTTAGTCCTGTCCTGCCGCAATGCTTCTCAACCATCCCAATACCTCGACCTTTCAATACGGTTCCTCATGTTGTGCTGACCCCCCCAGCCATAAAATTATTTCCTTGCTACTTCATAATTGTAATTTTGCTACTGTAATGTAAATACCCGTGTTTTCTGATGGCCTTAGGTAACCCTGGGAAAGGGTTCTTTGGGTGAGTAGTCCTTAAATGTCCTTGGACTCAGTTCTAGAAGGAAGGCGTGTGTTATGGGGAAGTGGGGTGTGTTCAGCTGGGGTGAGGAGAGTTTTCCTGTGGTTTTAAATACTCAGGCGGATCACTGTGTGGTGTTTCCCCTTTGTTACAGCTTTATAATTTGTTGTTGTTGTTTTCTCTTTCAGCAGTGGCTTTCTTGAAGAGTTCTAAGAGACTCCAAACTTGCAAGATATGAAGTTGACTGGGGAATATTTTTTATATCTTTTATACAGTTTCTATCATGAAGTCACTGGGCACGTGTGGCTCAAACCCAAAAGGGAGTATTTTTTTTGCTATGCTGAACACAGAATTCAGTTTGGTTTGAAAGGAGTTTTGGGATTAAAAGTGTGATGAAAATTTTAGTTCAGTTTCCCAGCATGAAAGAGCTCATGCTTTTTTGTACTTGTAGACTGTTCCTAGCCACCCACCATGGTTCCCAGTTGCCCAGCTGTTCTGTACACAGGCAGCTCCAACCTTGGAATTGCGGTCTTGTGAACAATGGAACCGTTCACAGCCTGAGCTTATGCTGGGGTGTTCACGTCTGTTACCAAAGCTGGATTCCGTTTGGTATTGTTAGAAGATCTTCATACACACAGTGGTTTGTGACAGAAGACTTCCTGGGAAAGCTTCTTGGAAACACCTAGTGAGTGCTCACAAAGTTGATCCCCCCCCCCCCCCCAGGACATCATGGAATCAGATAGAAACCACAGGCGTTGGACCAAGAATTCCGCACTGACCCCTGCTGCCATCAGACTCCTCCCCTCCCTCTTGGGTCACTTAGAAAATACAAAGACTAGTACTGTTTTTATTTAACACAATCTAAACAGTTTTCACTTGAGTCTATTTGAGTAAAAGGGAAAATGGTTTAAGCCACTCTAGAAAAATCATTCTGACATCCAGAGGCCACAACAAAACACACCTTTCTTAAGCAAGCGAGCCCCCGCTGAGACCTTCCTCCCCTTCAGTTCATATTGTAACTGATGCTCACTCAGTGAAGGCTTCCCAGGAAGACTGCAAGTTCAAGGCCTGCAATGCATGGGCTATAGAGAGAGAGTTCAGGGATAGGCTGGGCGACTGAACCAGACCCTGTCTCAGCAAAAAAGTTAAAGGAGGGCTGAGATATAGCTCAGTGGTAGAGCATGCTCAGCCATTTTAGTGGCTCCTAGCCCTGCTGGTCTCTCTCTCTCAGCTAGTATTTGTGTCGGTGTGGGGTGGGGATGTGGCAAGCTCTATGCCCTGCTTCCCGTGGTGTGATAGCATTGAGTACTTCATCTATTTCAAAGAGAAAGGATTTGTGTTTGTTTGGCACCACAAAAAATAAAAGAACAAAGGAAAAGTTAAGTTTTTTTGTTTCGTTTTGTTTTAAATAAACGTATACCACAGGGTATTTTCTGTAGATGTACTTACTTGATTCTGTTTCTGAAAACGGACTTTTTTTTTTTTTTTTTTTTCTAAGATTCTTTGTGAGTGGTAGATGCAGTTTGACGTGATCTCACCCTGGTACTGGCGTATGTCTACAAAGCAGAGAAGCCAGTGTGGATGCCAGATCCACTGTGGTCCAGGAAGTGGGGTGTGCGTTAGTGGGAATTATGTTTGTGCAGCTAAGCCAATGTTTTGACTTAAACAAGCAAAAAGCATACATTTTGCATTAACAAAAAAGTCCTTTAAATGGTGATGGGCTAATATATAACAAATTCTTTAGCTTTAATTATTTTTTAATTTTACTCAATCTAGAGAGCACTTTCTATAGCAATAAAGACAAGAATATACAAATATATTTAAGGTTGTATTTATATACCAAGAGTACATTTTTTAAAACATTTTTAAATATTTGAGCAGTTGGGTGACTCGCTTCCAGGGATGCCAAAAAATTCAGCGTTCGATACTTTGAACACATCTGCTTTTGTGCTGGTTTACACAGTTGCTCTTCCTTAGAACGACTGGGGATCTGGGACAAGCTCACTGTCCACAACACTAATGATGGATAGCCCGGTGTGATCAGTTGCCACCTCGATGTAATAACAAAAACAAAACAAAACTGTAAAGGAAAAAATTTCACTGTTCCCAGTGTCAATGTATTTTTTAACTGTCTGGTTTGTACTTTTTATGAATTTTGTACTACCGAAGCAGAGTTAAAAAATAAAAGCGTTAAACCAGTGTGATTGAATGGGCTGCATCTGAAGTCTTGGGTTGTCGAGAGATCTTTGGTCCTCATTGGAGTTCCCCTTCCTTACCACCCCTACCCCCCAACTGTTTCTCTGTCTTAATTTGAGGGTGATTCTGGACATGGGGAGGTACATACAGTGCAGAACTTTTGTGTACCCTTCACTCTGCTACCCGCCATGTTTATCAACATCTTACATCTCATAGGAACATGATCAGGACCAAGAAAGCATCATAAGTTCAAGATTGATAAATAACTCAGGGGGCCTCCCCACTTTGCCCTAGTATTCCCCGTTGTATTGAATTACTCCATCACCATAGACTGTCCACTGCTGGCCTAGTTTGTAGTGAGTGGCTCAGCTACTGTACGGTGTCCTTTGACTCGGGACTGGGTAGCTGTCTCTCATGGATACACTGAACTTTGCATTGGGAAGGATGCTGTCTGGCTGGTGTTCCTCAGTGCTTCACGTCAGAGACCACATGGTTGACACGTGCCATTTTGTGTCGTGTCCAGCAAGTTTCATATGGTAAAGTTACTATTTTTTTTTTTTTTTTTTAACATCTGTAATGAAGAGCAGAGATACTTGGAGACTAGGGCAGTAACTTAGCTCTGCTCACATTTTCATCTGGTAGTTTTACCATGCATTGGAGTTGGCTTGCCCCGGACTCCCATCAACAGGGTACCAAGAGTTTGGTGGTACTAAAGCCACAGAAAGCTGTTTCATTTCAGGTCAGGAGGCTAGAACCTGAAGCCAAGTTTTCTCCAGAGTTAGGTCCATCGGATGCTCTGAGGAAGGTGGTTCATGCTTCCTTCCTAACTTCAAGTAGTTGCTAGAAAGTTCTTAACATTTCTCGGTTTGAGGTTGGATCATTGAAGCTCTGTGTCTTGATGTCTTCCTCTGGGTGTCTGCCCTTCCCTCCTTATAAAGCCATCTGCCCTTGGGCTGTTGCCCACTGTGACCCTTATAAGCATGCTTCTTAACTAGATTACATTTGCAAAGACCCTGCTTCCGAGTAGGGTCACACGAGTCCCACCCCAGAAATTGGGATTGCAGTAACAACATGGGTTTTTAGGTGGGGCAGGGTAGCAGAGCTCTGCTCCTAGGGAATGGTGTTGGCAATGAAAGCTCTTAAGGTTGGTGTCTTTGCCCCCTGAGATGGCTCCCACGTCTTTACCTTTCCCTACTTCCCTCCTTTCCAACCCTCGTAGTCAAAAGGGGTTACTTGGGGTGGCATATTTTGCTTTTAATCAGCCCCCCTTTTTTAATGCACGTGATGCAGATTAGAGATGCCAAGACATTGTTTAGCTTTTATGTTTGTCATTGTTGGGAATGTGGCAAACCATGGACTCCCTAGACAATTCTCTCAGTGCCCGGGTCCCAGATCATCTGTTGCTTCAGATGGGGTTATATGGCTTTGCACACTTGTGCATTCCTCTCCCAAGTCTGTCTTGCTGGCCAGCCTTGCTCTATCCAAAATTTATAGTCTAAAATGGAAGAGTTTGGTTGCTTAGAAGTGGGATCCCCACAGCTTGGAGATCTGTAGCAAATTTGGCTCTTAGTATCTACCTTGCACAAGGATGGCACTTTGCCCCCCTCTTCTGGTTGGATGTGGGAACTGCAGGGAGGATGGTCTGGCCATTTGTTGATGTATCTTTCAGGTGTTGGTGTGCAGAGCCCACGATGTGTTTGCAGAACAAATAAAACTTTAAAAATAAACAATATAACAGCTATCTAATAAAAGTAAAAGACCACATTTGGGTTTTTTTCCTGATCTATTTTTTTCTGATCTTGTCAATTTATCTCCCCCCCCCCCCCATCAAAATACTTCCTTATCTTACATGGACGTTGTATTATTAGATGGGGGCAGGAATGACTCTGTCACATTCTGGAGGACACCCCAGGTCCTAAGTCCTGTCATGGAAATGGTGTGACGATTGTAGATGACTGGGACTCTGAGAGACAGCCCAGCATTTGCTGTAGAGTTATGTGCTGGGAACCATGCTCATGGCTTCTCGGAGGCCCAGCATTTTCCTAAACCCCTGCTCTCACAGGGGATTTATTTATTTACTTTTGCGTGTGTGTGTTTGTGTGTGAGTGTGAGACGCCTGTGTGTTGTGCATTTCCCCGTGTGTGAATGTGGGGGACCCGAGTATGTGTATGCATATGTTGAGAGTCTTCAATCACTCTTCACTTCATTGACTGAGGCAGGATCTCTTGCTAAACCCGGAGGTCACTGATTTCACTAGCCTAGCTAGCCAGGTTACTGCAGGGATTCCCCTTGTGGTTTTTTTAAGGAGTAGAAAATGCATGCAAAATCATGAAGCCTGCCACAGCCTCCCCATCTTCCTCCAGAGGGCGCTGTCCTGTTAGTGGCTGTTGGTGCGTTTTGTGGGGCTATAAATAAAATACCCTGGGTGGAATACTTTAAAAGGAGAAAAGGCTTACTTGGCCCCAAGTTAGTGACACCTTTAGTGTTCACTGTAACGTGGCTGTTGCCCCATGACTGTGGTAGCAGGGTGTAGATGCCAAACTCCAGGGTGACCTTGTATAATAGTCTGCTCTCAGGGTAACTAGTGCAGTTACTTGAGAAAGAAATAGTCTATTCATGAGGATCAACCCCCCCACCCCCATAACCTAATGATGTACAGTTCCACCCGCCCCTGAACATGATTACATTACAAATCATTTTGTTGTTGTTGTTGTTTTGGTGGAGACAAACCATAGCCAAACCACTAAACTCGGTAGTGGGTCTGAGCACGTCTGTCTTTTGGGCAAGTGCACACAGCTTTGTCTAGAGTCTGGCTGAGCTGGTAAGTTCCCTATTCTGAACTGAGCCAAGTTAGTGCTCACGGACCTAGTAGGAGAGCCGAAGAAGGGGACCAAATGCGGGTGATGCCGAGGCCCAGGGACACAATGAGGAGCTGAGGGTCAAAGGCTGAGTGAAGTGGGACAACCAGGCTCCACCAGCTGTGCGCTTGTCCCTTTGCAGACTGATGGCTCCTCCTTTGGACTCAGTGGGGTACCCTGTTCCCCTGCCCATAGCTGCTCAGGGTGGACCCCTGGCCTAACTTCCCTCTGGACGAAAGAAGCCCCTCTGTGCGTGGCATGGTGTTCTGAGTTTCATGGACATTTCAAGGAAGCATCTCTTTTGCCTTACACAGTTTGAGCTCTCGTTGTGTGCAGTCGTAAACATACAAACAATGGACCCCAAATGGCAATGGAGTTATTTATTGAAATATGATGGGTGTGGGGCCTTGAATAAGAATAGCCCCCATAGGCTCATGTATTTGAATGCTTAGGGGGCAGCACTATCTGTTGGAGTAGGTGTGGGCTTGTTGAAGACAGTGTGTCGCTGGGGTTGGGCTTTGAGGTTTCAGAAGCTCAAGCCAGGCCCAGCGTCTCTCTCCTGCTGCCTGCGGATACGGATATAGTGCTGTCATCTCCAGCACCATGTCTGCCTGCACACGGCCATACTACCTGCCCTGCTGATAACAGACTGAACCTCTGAACTGTAAGAGCGCCCCAATTAAATGCTTCCCTTTACAAGAGTTGCCGTGGTCATGATGTCTCTCTTCATAGCATTGACTACGACAATGGGTGATGAATATAGTTACCTGCTGAAAGGAAGATGGCTGAGGAGGTCCTAGATCCATATACCCTTCCAAAGCCCATGTAGTAAGCACAGCAGCTCGGATTCCAGAGCTGCCTTGGGTCCGTCTCTAGGAGTCCTGGACAAGCACAGTTCCTGCAAACTGAGTCACTCTTCCTGTCATTGCCTTAGCACAATCCCTCTATGCCCTCTCTCCTTGAGCTAGCACAAGGCTCGCTCCCTCAGATTCAGGAAGAGCCAGAGTTGGGCATCCAAGTGTGTTTGCCCATCCTACAAACTCCATGTGAAGATAATGTGCTCTTTGGATGGTGTTTTTAGCATTACCTGAGCTTGGATGTGTCATGTATAGGGCCAGACAGAGCTGGCACTCAGCTCTCTTGATACCAAAACTACACAATTTAGATTCTCACCTTCTTTCTTGGGACTAAACGCTGAGAGTTTGGCCACTTGATGCCTCTTTCCCTATCACAATGCTTTGCCTTTGAAGACCAACTGGGGACTTGAGGGGAAGGTTAAGGTGAAGACAAGACTTTAGTCCTGCTGGGCCTGAGTCTTCGGGTGCAGTCACACACCTGATTTGAGTAAATAATTGTCTTTCCCTGAGGGTGAATGGACTCATAAGTATGATAGAATAGACTAGTTGTAATTTTATTCTATCACTAAAAAGAGATGACATCTTAGTATGGTAGGAAATAGCTGGGTGTATTGTTATTCTGGAGTTATTCTACCTGAGAAATTATAAGCAGAATATCCTCAGAGTCACTGTGCGGTAACCCTGGGTTAGCTTGTTACATATGAATATCTTAACATTGGCCGTATCAAACAAAAGCCACACTAAATAAAAACCAAACCAAATGTAACCCCTAAGAGTAACCATCCAACCCTGTTGACCCTCTCAAGGTTTCTGTTGTGTCTCAAATATGCATGTTATTGTATAATTTTTATTTGTGGGCATGGAAGGACAAAATAAAGATCTATTTGAATAAAGTGCTCATTTCGAGGGCAACGTGACCTAAAAATGTACCTCTATGTGTCCTTTAGTCGAGTAAAGGATGAAATAAAGGAGAATAAAGCATGTTTCAGATAAGTCCCTCTGTGTCGAATTATTAATGTTGGGTGATAATTGGTGATGCAGGCGGGAAAGCGTTCATCACTGCTGTCAGTAGTGGCTCAGAGAGCTTTAGCTCATGGCAGTGAAGACTCACTAAAAAGATGTGGAATGCGTCTCATGAGTGTGAGCCCGTGCCGTTAGCTCCCTCTCCCCTACCCCCATTCTCCCAATTTGCACCTAAGATCTTCTCCCTTTCCCCTTCTCAGGAGGACCACATATGTCTCTCTTAGAGGCCTCCTTTTCTCCTAGCTTCTCTGGAGGTGTGGATTGTAGACT